TGAACTACAACTCCCAAACTCAAGGTCAATGCCCACCAAACCCTTCCAGTGTGTTCTGTTGTCATGGAAGTCCTGTATGCCATGTTTGGTTGAATTCCATCATTGGTGGAGTTCAGAATGCTCTTTGATTGTAGGTGAACTATAAATCCCAGCAACTACAACTCCCAAATGTCAAGGTCTATTTCCCTTAAACTCCATCTGTGTTCATATTTGGGCATATGGAATATTCGTGCCAAGTTTGGTTCAGATCCATCATTGGATCTGAACCACGCTCTCTGAATGTGGGTGAACTATAATTCCCAAACTCAAGGTCAATGTCCACCAAACCTTCCAGTTTTTTCTGTTGGTCATGGGAGCCCTGTGTGCTAAGTTTGGCCCATCATTGGTGGAGTTCAGAATGCTCTTTGATTGTAGGTAAACTATAAATCCCAGCAACAACAATTCCCAAATGACAAAATCAATTTTTTGAGTGGAGGACATAAATTGGACTGTTAGGTGTCTTGTGTCCAAATTTGGTGTCAATTCCCCCAGTGGTTTTTGAGTTCTGATGGTAGCACGAACTAACATTACATTTTTATTTATATAGATGTGTGTATGTTTGTTCCGCAAAGGCTCCTATATGGCTCGATGGATCAGGACCAGACATGGTATACTTATACTTCATGATTCAACTTAAAATACCAGCAGGGTTTCAACTAAATACACTACCCCATTTGGGGTTATGGCCCCCAAAATGAAGAAATAGGGATGCATGTATGCAGCTCTCATCTGCAACCACCAGAGGGCATTGGATACATAGAAAGGCTTCCTCAGAGAGAAAGATAGCAAATGGAAGAGAGCTCAAGTGTCAGCATATAGTCCCTTTCAGAGGGCCAAATCATGGCAATGGGGGCATTCTAAGGGAAGCCTTCAGCTAATAATGAACATCTATATAAATAAAAATGTAATGTTCATTTGTGGGATTAACATAACTCAAAAACCACTGGAGGAATTGACACCAAATTTGGACACAAGACACCTATCAACCCAATGTATGTCCTTCACTCATAAAAACACTGAAAAACACAGCAGAAAGGACTTAAAAAGCCCCCCAAAAGCTAAATGACAAAAAGCTAAATGACAATACAGAAAAAAGGGAAGAAAGAGGGAGGGAAGGGGAGAAAAGAAAGAAAGAAAGGAAAGAAAGAAAGAGGTAGGGAGGGAAAGGGAGAAGGAAAGGGAGAAGGAAGCATGGAAGCAAAGAGAGAAGGAAGGAAGGAAGGAAGGAAGGAAGGAAGGAAGGAAGAAAGGAAGGAGAAGGAGGAAGAGAAGGAGAGAGGGAGGGAAAGAAAAAGGGGGAAGGAAGGAAAGTTAGAGAAGGAAGGAAGGGGAGAAGGAAATAAAAGGGGAAAGAAGGAAGGAAAGTGGGAGTGAAGGAAGGGGGGAAGATTTAGAGAAAGAGGGAGGGAAGGAAAGAAGGAAAGAGAGAAGGAAGAAAAGAGACAGCAGAAGAGAAAGAAAAAGGGAAGGAAGGAAAGAGATAGAGAAGGAAGGAAGAAGAGATGAAAAGACAGGAAGGAAGGAGAGAGGGAGTGAAGGAAGGAGGGAAAAGAAGGAGAGAAAGAGGGAAGGTTGGCCATAGCAACGCATGGCAGGTACAGCTAGTTTCTAATACATTTCTAGTATTGTCAAAGGATTTCATGGGTTGCTGCGAGTTTACCTTCCCATTGAGGTGGTACCTTTTGATCTACTCACATTTGCATGTTTTTGAACTGCTAGGTTGGCAGGAGCTGGGGCTAACAGATTTGAAATGCCAACTTTCTGGTCAGCAAGTTCAGCAGTTCAACGGTTTAACCTGTTGTGCCAGTGCGGATATATATGCTAGTGTATTATATCAGCACAAAATATGCCACGGAGCTCCACAAACTGCTCAAAAAATCTCTCCAGTGGGATGCTGGGACAATAGATTCCAAATGAAGAACGGAACATGCCCGAGACAACCTGGATTCAATTAGAGACCGTTGCCAGGGGAACCGAGTCTTAAAAGCTTGTCAGGAGTCAATCCCTTTGCATGTGGATGAACTTAGCTGTGCAGAACAGGCTGCCTATGACAATGTTCGGAAGCCACAGAGAGTGCTTCGAAGGAAGTGTCCCTTGGGGAAGGAAAGCGTGCAGATCTCTTGGCAGGAAGGAAGGGATGAAAGACGGGGGATTTGTTGGAAGCACAACGAGACACGGGAAATGCACCTGGTTTCCGCCCACGGTTTCCGCCCAGGGGATGGGACACTCCAGCCAGGTGTTGCTTTTTGTAATAGACACATTCCTGGGCCTAGGGTGAACCAAATAGTGGAAGGACTGCAGTGAGAATGCAATCGTGATCGACTTGAATGTAGTTGCAAAGCTCTGTGTGGTTAGAGTGGCTCCTGGAACCCATTATTATGTCCCTGAAGCTGTCAATGTGATGGCGCGAGTGGCACCACCTATATGTAGAACTTTAATTTGCAAAGTTTTAAACTGTATGACATGCCCAAACTTGCCTAGTTTGTAAATGTATAGTTGGATTGATTGGTTATTTATAGCTGTCAATCAATGTTGTTTGCACCAGTTATATTGCTTCCTCAGCTCAATTGCTTGGCTCCACCTCTTCCTGGAGGAGGGCAGAGCTTTTCCTTTTCCATTCTACCATCAAACTTTCTATCAGATAGACATGAGAAAGAGACTTGGCTCTAAAGCCCTTAATTAAGTTACCTCTCATCACCAATTCTAAGGTTTTAAAACTTGGGACTCATACTTCACGCCCTGGACAACGTTGAGGAGACCCAAGCACCTTCAAACCGGTCCTGTGGCATCAGAGGAAGGCTTAGTGTTTTCAAATATAGGCTATCTGGACTGGGGTTGTAAATGCTCCGGCATTCACAACCATTGAGAAAAGAGGGAACAGGAAAAGCTTCTCAGCTATGAAATATCCTTGGACCCAAGACAACCAGAGACTATAATGTATATTTCCTTTACCCCCTTTGAAACTTTCAGCTTATTGCCTTAAAGGGATAACTCTTTGTGAACAATAAAACCTATTTTGAGTTATCTGCAGTGTTTTGGTTCTTGAGAGTTCCAGTTCTTTAAAGGGAGGCAAGAAGCAATCGCCTGGGGGAAATATGTCATGTCTATGTCTCTTCCACTAAGAGTTATAGCCCCCAGGCACGACGGCATAGTCAACCAGCCTCCCAAATCACCAATTTAAAAAGATTATAGGCAATTTTTGTTGCGCTAAGCGTATTTCAGTCAAGTCCAATGCAGAAGACACAATAACATTGCACCCAGGCAAGAGGGAAAAGAACAGAAAAACTTTACTCTTATCAGCAGAGTTAAAACATAAACTTGCAATGTTACAAACAGTGCAACAAACTTACATAGTCCTTGTAAGCAATACAGAATAAGGCTTCTTTATCTTCATCCAAATGAGAGAGCAGTAGAAATGGTTGAGCAGAATGCCTGAGCAAAGGCTCCTCAGAGCAAAAGCAAAACTGTATTCCAAAAACCATACAGTTACATCTCACCAGGTGTGGAGCAAACTTACTAGGTGACCTACATTAGCAGCTGCACATAATAATTAACAGCATAAGCTTTTCTTTAACACACACACACACACATACTTGATCCTGTTATGACTTACTGTAACAATTTTAGCCCAAAGTCACTGAAAGAATCTCCCAGATATATTCATACACTCCACTTGCTTTGCTGTCATATCTCCATTTTTTCTCTTTAATGCTTCTCAAAATCGTTCCAGAAAGTAATGGCATTTCAATTTTTTTTCATCATCAATTTAGTATTATGAAAAGTTATTATTTATTTATTTACAGTATTTATATTCCACCCTTCTTACCCCACAGGGGATTCAAGGCGAATTACGATGCACATATACATGGCAAACATTAGATATACAACATTTATAGACAGACACAGAGGCAATTTAACATTCCAGCTTTTCCAGCTTCATGAGGGTATGCTTGTTTCCTGCCACAGGGGGAGCTGTCATTTCACCATCGACTTGTGACACCAAGTCCTTTGATGGAGTACTTCCTCATTCTTCTGCACACTGCTGGAAGGTTTTATGACACTGTAAATTAGTTAAATTAGCCTCACCGGATAAAGCGGTACCTAAATTTCCTACTTGATAGATGTAACTGTCTTTTGGGTTGCATAGGTCGACAGCAAGTTAGACTATTAATGGCTGGGAACTTACTCCGACCTGAGCTGACTTTGGAACTCATGGCCTCTCGGTCAGTAGTGATTTAATACAGCTGGCTACTAACTAGTCCAGTCTCTGAAAACGCAGCTATGTCAATACTATTACTTCCACTTGTTCTAATTTTACCCATTGCATATAATAATTATTGTAATACGTTTTCTGATTGTCCATCCACAATCTTTCTTGCTCATTTGGTGGTTTTAATCTGCCATTACTTTTACACATTTAGCAGATCTATATCCAAATTGTTTCTTGCTTCAGGGTGAGCTGCTGGCCTTTAGCCCAGCTTCTGCCTGCCTAGCAGTTTGAAAGCAAAATGTGAGTAGATAAAAAGGTACCATTTAAATGCAGGAAGGTATTTAAGGCATCCATAAGGAAATGCCAGAAAAATGCTGGAAATTCAATTAATAGAAGAAGTGATAAAGCGAGGAACCGAGCACACGCCTCCAAGATGGGAAACACCTATACATACCTCTATCTATGTACAATTGTTTATCTTGTCAGTGTATAAATAGCATGTAATGTTTTCCGCATATGTGTTCTGTGATCCTCCCGGAGTCCCCTTTGGGGTGAGAAGGGTGGAATATAAATACTGCAAATTAATTAATGAATTAATAATGCTGATTTTTTTCATAGTTTTTAACTTACTTACTTTACTTTACTTCCTCTGAAGCTGAGATCACCCATTTGTCCCAGTGGGATAAATTCTGGCCGTGCAGTCAACTTGGAGGATATTTTAAAGAAATAATATTTTCCCCCTTCTTCACAGGTGTACGAGAGGGGAACCAACGTGGACCAGTTTGTGACCCGCTTCCTGCTGAAGGAGACGGCCAGCCAGATCCAGTCCTTGCTCAGCTCCGTGGAAAGTGCCGTCGATGCGATTGATGAGCAAACTAGTCAGATAAGGTTGGCTTATATATTTTTTCTTGCTTGCTTTTGATCCCTCCCAGATGAAATGTAAACTCCAGGTCAATTTGCTGCCATTTCTAACCTGTGTTTTGGAGTTTTCATAGTTGGATCAGGACATAATCTTCCGCAGAGGGTGCCAGAGTTTGTCTGCCATAAATTGAAATAGAAAGTTGTGACTTATTTAATTGGTTTGTCCTCAGCACGGCAAACTCCCAAATCAGTGGCAAGCTGGAAAATCAACCCTAATGCAAGCTCCGCTTGTTGTTGTTCATTCGTTCAGTCGTCTCCGACTCTTCGTGACCTCACGGACCAGCCCACGCCAGAGCTCCCAGTCGGCCGTCACCTCCCCCAGCTCCTTCAAGGACAGTCCAGTCACTTCAAGGATGCCATCCATCCATCTTGCCCTTGGTCGGCCCCTCTTCCTTTTTCCTTCCATTTTCCCCAGCATGATTGTCTTCTCTAGGCTTTGCTGTCTCCTCATGATGTGGCCAAAGTACTTCATCTTGGCCTCTACTATCCTTCCCTCCAATGAGCAGTCGGGCTTTATTTCCTGAAGTATGGACTGGTTGGATCTTCTCGCAGTCCAAGGCACTCTCAGCACTTTCCTCCAACACCACAGTTCAAAAGCATCTCTCTTCCTTCGCTCAGCCTTCCCTAAGGTCCAGCTCTCACATCCGTAGGTGACTACAGGGAATACCATGGCTTTTGACTAGGCGGATCTTTGTTGCCAGTCTGATGTCTCTACTCTTTACTATTTTATCGAGACTGGACATTGCTCTCCTCCCAAGAAGTAAGCGTCTTCTGATTTCCTGGCCACAGTCTGCATCTGCAGTAATCTTTGCACCTAGAAATACAAAGTCTGTCACGGCCTCCACGTTTTCTCCCTCTATTTCCCAGTTGTCAATCATTCTTGTTGCCATCATCTTGGTTTTTTTGATGTTTAGCTGCAACCCAGCTTTTGCGCTTTCTTCTTTCACCTTGATTAGAAGGCTCCTCAGCTCCTCCTCGCTTTCGGCCATCAAAGTGGTGTCATCTGCATATCTGAGGTTGTTAATGTTCCTTCCAGCAATTTTCACCCCAGCTTTGCATTCATACAAGCTCCGCTAGTATTTATTTATTTGTTTGCAGTATTTATATTCCGCCCTTCTCACCCCGCAGGGGACTCAGGGCGGATTGCAATGCACATATACATGGCAAACATTCAATGCCAGTTAGACACACAACATATTGGCGCACCTCAGAATAGTTTCACCTTGCTGAAAACACCAAACTGCACACAGCCAGAAGTCTTTATCTATATAAATAAAAATGTAATGTTCGTTTGTGGGATTCACACAACTCAAAAACCACTGGACGAATTGACACCAAATTTGGACACAAGACACCTAACAACCCAATGCATGTCCTTCACTCAAAAATTGATTTTGTCATTTGGGAGTTGTAGTTGCTGGGATTTATAGTTCACTTACAATCAAAGAGCATTCAATTCCCACCAACGAGGGAATTGAACCAAACTTGGCACAGAGGATTCCCATGACCAACAGAAAATACTGAAAGGGTTTGGTGGGCATTGACCTTGAATTTTGGAATTGTAGTTCACCTCCATCCAGAGAACACTGTGGACTCAAACAATGATGGATCTGGACCAAACTTGGCACAAATATTCCATATGCCCAAATATGAACACAGATGGAGTTTGGGGGAAAATAGACCTTGACACTTGGGAGTTGTAGTTACTAGATCTATAGTTCACCTACAATCAAAGAGCATTATGAACCCGCCAACGACAGAATTGAACCAAACTTGGCACACAGAACTCCCATGACCAACAGAAAATACTGGAAGGGTTTGGTGGACATCGGCCTTGAGTTTTGGAGTTGTAGTTCACCTACATCCAGAGAGCACTGTGGACTCAAACAATGATGGATCTGGACCAAACTTGGCACGGATACTCAATATGCCCAAATGTGAACACTAGTGGAGTTTGTGGGAAATAGGCTTTGACATTTGGGAGTTGTAGTTGCTGAGATTTGTAGTTCACCTAGAATCACAGAGCATTCCGAACCCCACCAACGACAGAATTGAGCCAAACCTCCCACACAGAACTCCCATGTGGGCCACAGCAACGCGTGGCAGGGGACGGCTAGTAACCATATAAGAAACTTCAGCTGATGTAGTCTCTTCAATGCAATTTTCTAAATCAGCAGTTCCAGGAACAGGGCTAAAAATGATATTATGCATGTTCCCTAATCTTCCCAATGGGATTTTGGCCTGCATCAATAGGAGCATAGTGTCTAGATCTAGGGAAGTAATGCTACCCCTCTATTCCGCTTTGGTTAGACCACACCTGGAATATTGTGTCCAATTCTGGGCACCACAATTCAAGAGAGATATTGACAAGCTGGAATGTGTCCAGAGGAGGGCGACTAAAATGATCAAGGGTCTGGAGAACAAGCCCTATGAGGAGCGGCTTAAGGAGCTGGGCATGTTTAGCCTGAAGAAGAGAAGGCTGAGAGGGGATATGATAGCCATGTATAAATATGTGAGAGGAAGCCACAGGAGGAGGGAGCAAGCTTGTTTTCTGCTTCCCTGGAGACTAGGACGCAATGGAACAATGGCTTCAAACTACAAGAGAGGAGATTCCATCTGAACACGAGGAAGAACTTCCTGACTGTGAGAGCCGTTCAGCAGTGGAACTCTCTGCCCCGGAGTGTGGTGGAGGCTCCTTCTTTGGAAGCTTTTAAACAGAGGCTGGATGGCCATCTGTCAGTGATTTGAATGCAATATTCCTGCTTCTTGGCAGGGGGTTGGACTGGATGGCCCATGAGGTCTCTTCCAACTCTATGATTCGATGATTCCCCTTAGAAATAATGGGTGCCACAAACAGAGGAAGATAATGAGACCTAAAGAAGAAAGGAAAGCTATTCAAATTTCCAACATGTCCTTCTGTTTCCGCTCCTTTTTTTGCTGGCATCGAGCGAGGCTCCGAGATAAGATGGTCAAAAGTCTTTCCAGAATTTCACTTCCTTTCCTGATCTACGGTTGCTGCCTCTTTCCATTTATTTCTTCAACCCCCGGTCACCAATGTATATTCATGAGAATTTCCCAAGAGAGTTGTTCCGATCCCGCTGCATTGCAGGTCGATACAATGCACCAGCTTTCCGCTTCTCCTTTCAGAACACGGCCCAGCCTTTCCGCACAGCAGTTTTGTGTTTAGCAATTGCACTGTTGCCAGAACCATCATTTGGAGGAAGGAAAAAGAATCTGCCTACGAAGGCTGGATAAGCAATATCAAAGCAAAGTGCATCGCTCTCTCTGTGTGCATCTCCATTTGGCTCCGTTTCAAGGTGGGGAAGATGCTGACTTCGGGACTGTAATTCTTTGCTAATTTTGTTTTCAAAGGAAGCCGCGAGTGGTTTTGGCAATTTTCTTCCCGCTGAGAGAAAGTCTTCAAAAGCTCGGCAGTTTTCAAAGCCTATTAGCATTTGGGGGTTTATTCCAAGCAAAATTTGTGTAGAGTTTCCTTGCAAAGAAAACTGCAAGATGGATGCAGGAAACGATATTTTAGCCAGCAATATTACGAGGGTTGACTGAAAAGTAATGCCTCCACCTTCGTTACTTGGGTTTGGATGGAAATATTTTAATAAATCAAGCACAGAAATAATCCGTAGAATGTGCTCTTTAACTACCACTATTTGCTTTTCCACATAATCACCAGACAATTGGATACATTTCTGCCAACGATGAACAAGTTTTCTGAAGCCGTCACTGAAGACGTCGACACTCTGTTTCCGCAACCAGAACTCTCATCCTGGGTACTCATTGTGCACAGATAGTATAAATCCAGCTTTAATTTGGCCCTGGGCATGGACACCACCTTGATCTTACAAGAGTTGAATGAAAAGTAATGCCTCCCCCTTCGTTACTTGGGTTTGGATGGAAATATTTTAATAAATGAAGCGCAGAAATAATCCGTAGAATGTGCTCTTTAATTCCCATGATTCACTTTTCCACATAATCACCAGACAATTGGATACATTCCTGCCAACGATGAACAAGTTTTCTGAAGCCGTCACTGAAGACGTCGACACTCTGTTTCTGCAACCAGAACTCTCGTCCTGGGTACTCATTGTGCACAGATCTTCCGATAGTATAAATCCAGCTTTAATTTGGCCCTGGGCATGGACACCACCTTGTTCTTACAAGAGTTGAATGAAAAGTAATGCCTCCCCCTTCGTTACTTGGGTTTGGATGGGAATATAGTAATCATCCTTGGAATGTGCTCTTTAAACTACCACTATTCACTTTTCGACATAATCACCAGATAATTGGATACATTTCTGCCAACGATGAATAAGTTTTCTGAAGACATCACGGAAGAAGTCGACACTCCGTTTCCGCAACCAGCATCTCACAGTTCTCTCGACGTCTTCATCGAGCATAACAATGTCCCCGCAGATCTTCTTTCATTATCGGGAACAGATGGAAGTCAGATGGTGCTAAATCTGAACTGTATGGAAGATGTCGTATGGTGGGGAGATCCCTCTGAAGTTTCTGAGGGATCTGAAGTTTCAAGTCTGTGCGCTTTCACTTCAGGCGTCAGCATCCTGGGTATCCATTGTGCACAGATCTTCCGATAGCCAAGAAAAGCAATAATGTGATCCACACGTTCTTGTGAAATGCCAATTATGCTTGAAATTTCTCTCCGAGTGATACGACGATAATCCTGAATCAATCTGTCAACCTTTTGCTCGTGAAACTCGGTGGTTGCTGTCACAGGATGTCCAACTCTTTGTCATGCAAGTCAGATCTTCCCACCTCAACATCTTTAAACTTACTCACCCAACAATGCAAAGTACTCACATCAACATCAAATCAACACAATCACCATAAACAGCTTGCATTCTCCAATGAATCTCCTTTGGGGTGACTGCACGTTGCTTAAATCACATTAGCCGACCATCTGTGCAGGGTTCCATACTTCACACTTTAACAATGCAATGTGAAGGCTTCCCACCAAAATGGAACTGTAGAGGAGAGTCTACTGAACAAGCCAGTACCTGTCGCACACCAGTACTGCCATCTGTTGAGAAGTTATGAAGGTAGAGGCATTATTTTTCATTCAACCCTCGTATTCCCAGTGCAGCAGAAAACAACCTTATCTGCACCAAAATATTATTTTCTACATAGAAATATCATGGAATTCTTATTATTTCACCTTTGGGTTGCTCTTAAAGAAATGAGTGTGCCAAAACATTTGATTGTTCTGAATCAGGGCAAGAAGTTATCATCCAGACAAAACGTGGAGAAAGGGGAAAGTTTCCAAATGGCAAGGTAAAGGTAAAGATTTTGAGTAAAAGCAACCTGGTGCTTCCTTTGAGGTCATTAATTAAGTAAATGAATTGACTGAGAAGAAACAATAGAAACTATGGCTAGCGTTGAGGAATGGCTTCATGACCCCAAAGGAAGCACCAGGTTGCTTTTCCTCAAGCATCTCCATCCTGTTCAAAAGGAGATGCTTGAGTACCATGCCAATCCCATTTGGTGTTTGAGGCCAGCACCTGGTTTGGCAGAACTTTTGGCAAAGTTCCTAGGTGGGGCTTCAACAGAAGCTATGTTCCTTCATTTCACCAGGAGCAAGAGTATTTGAGTCAGGCAAACAATGCCCTTCAAAGTTAGTTTTAATGAAGGCATGGTGTGTCTCTCATGGTCAAGCACTTGGGCACCAACAGTGCTTCCAATAGCAATTATTTCAGGGTATTTCCTGTTCCATCTCCTAGGAGCCTGGTTTGCATTGCTTTTTTAGTTGCTTCGAGTGGCTGCCCCTTGCCTTTCTCTCAGGAGCTGCTGCAGCCTTGCAAAGCCAGGAGTTTAACAACCAAAGGCAGGAAAAGCCAGTCTGCAAACTCTTTGCAATGATTGGCCTAGGGATCAGCTCTTTGAGCCCGCCCCTGCTCCCAGGGAAAGACTTCCATTTTGGAGTCCTCCCTGCCTGTTCAGTTCTGAAGAAGGAATCTGATGTGCTGGTGGCCAGAAAGGTAGCTCCGACAAACCACTGTAAAAACAATTGAGTTATAGACAAGTATTGAGAAGAATTGAGCTATAGTTAGATAGATTATAAGAGAGTTATAGAGTATAAATAAAAATAGATATTGAGCTTTGAGAATTGAGTTTTATAGAGTCTTATAGAGAGAGGGGGACTGCATTGCCTTATCTCCAAGGCTAATCTGGAGTTTAGATATATAGGGAAAGATTTGTTCTTTCTAAAAGACAACAGCTCTGGATTAGGGTGAAGGACCCCTGGACCCCTTTGCCACTTCAGGAAAGGCTGACTCAGTAACTGGTAGAGAAGAGAAAGAAGAAATAACTATTTGGTTTTATCAATTGACTGTTCTGTTTGCAACTTTGAGAAATAAATATCCTTTTTTGATGTTCAGAACTTGTAATAGACTCAGTTGCTGAGAATCTCAATCTTCTCAAGAAAAGCACCGGCAGTTCACCCAGACATAGGGAACAGCACATCATAGTTTTGTTTTTAAAAATGTCTGGGTGTAACGGCACATTTCCAATGACAATGTCATCTGTGCACATTCAGAAGAAGACCTACAAGCCACTCTAAACACCTTCGCAGAAGCATACGAGAAGCTCGGCCTGTCATTGAATATTGAGAAAACCAAAGTGCTCTTCCAGCCTTCACCAGCCAATCCCTCTACAGTGCCAGAAATATAACTTAATGGTGTAACATTAGAAAATGTTGACCATTTCTGCTAACTGGGTAGCCACCTCTCCACAAAAGTCAACATTGACACTGAAATACAACACCACCTGAGCTCTACAAGTGCAACATTTTTCTGAATGAAGCAGAAAGTGTTTGAGAACCGGGTAATCTATAGGGAGACCAAGGTGCTAATTTATAAAGCTATTGTCCTCCCAACCCTGCTATATGCCTGCAAAATGTGGACTGTCTACAGACGTCACATGCAACTCCTAGAACGATTCCATCAGCGTTGCCTCTGAAAAATCTTCCAAATCTCTTGGGAAGACAGGCGAACAAATGTCAGCGTGCTGGAAGAAGCATTGAAGCGATGCTCCTCCTCCATCAACTCCACTGGACCAACCATGTTGTCTGAACACCTGACCATCATCTCCCAAAGCAGTTGTTCTACTCTGAACTTAAGAATGGAAAATGGAATGTTGGAGGTCAGGAAAAGAGATTTAAAGATGGGCTCAAAGCCAACCTTAAAAACTGTGGTATTGACACCGAGAACTGGGAAGCCCTGGTCCTTGAGCACTCTAAGTGGAGGTCAGCTGTGACCAACAGTGCGGTAGAATTTGAAGAGGCACGAATGGAGGGTGAAAGAGAGAAACGTGCCAAGAGGAAGGTGCGTCAAGTCAACCCTGACCGGGACCGCCTTCCACCTGGAAACTGATGCCCTCACTGTGGGAGAACATGCAGGTCAAGAATAGCGCTCCACAGCTACCTACGGACCCACCGCCAGGACACCGAATTTGAAGGACAATCCTACTCAGACAACAAGGGATCACCTAACTTCAACTTCAATTTCAGTCTCCCCTCTCCCTCCCTTTCCTTCCTTCCTCCCTCCCTCCCTTTCCTCTTCCTTCTTCCTTCTCTACTAATACGCTACTAATATACCTGCAATACACCCCTAATCCTCCTTTCTCCTCCTTCGATGCTTCCTTTTGTTTAGCTTTCTGTTCTTCTATTTGAGAGCCCTCTAAATAAACTTGCCCTTATTTAATATCTTTGAGGTTTCCCCTTTGGGATTTCACAGCTCTTGCGTAAGACCACTTATTCTCTATTACATGACCTAGATGGAAGGTTGCTAGAATATTTGCACGGATCTGTTGTGGTGCTTGGGATCAACAATTCCCTTTATCCACACTGTGGAATAATAGCGGTTTGACACCACTGGAATCCTTGGGACTTGTGGTTTGGTGGGAATGAGGAACTAAGACTCCATCTACACTGAGCATTTAATGCAGTTTCAAACTATTGTTGAAGGTTTTCATGGCCATAATCACTGGGTTGTTGTAGGATTTTTTGGGCTATATGGCCATGTTCTAGAGGCATTATCTCCTGACGTTTCGCCTGCATCTATGGCAAGCATCCTCAAAGGTAGTGAGGTCTGTTGGAACTAGGAAAAGTGGTTTATATATCTGTGGAATGACCAGGGTGAGACAAAGGACTCTTGTCTGCTGGAGCTAGGTGTGAATGTTTCAACTGACCACCTTGATTAGCATTTGATGGACTGGCTGTTGTTTTGTGTGGCTTGTTAGTGCCTGGGGCAATCTTTGGTTGAGAGGTGATTAGATGTCCCAGATTGTTTCCTCTCTGTTGTTTTGCTGTTGTTACCAGTATTTAAAAACTCTAAAATAACAACAGCAAAACAACAGCACCTCGGTCTCCCTTAATCCATCATCCAAACCACTACACCAGTGTTTCTCAACCTGGGGGTCAGGACCCCTGAGGGGGTCGCGAAGGGGTGTCAGAGAGGTCGTCAAAGACCATCAGAAAACACAGTATTTTCTGTAGGTCATGGGGGTTCTGTGTGGGAAGTTTGGCCCAATTCAATAGTTGGTGGGGTTCAGAAAGCTCCTTGATTGTAGGTGAACTATAAATCCCAGTATCTACAACTCCCAAATGTCAAAGTCTATTTTCCCCAACCCCATCAGTGTTCACATTTGGGCATATTGAGTATTTGTGCCAAGTTTGGTCCAGATCCATCATTGTTTGAGTCCACAGTGCTCTCTGGATGTAGGTGAACTGCAACTCCAAAACTCAAGGTCATGTCCACCAAACTCCTTCCAGTATTTTCTGTTGATCATGGGAGTTCTCTGTACCAACTTTGGTCCAATTCCATTGTTGGTGGGGTTCAGAATGCTCTTTGTTTACATGTTAACTATAAATCCCAGCAACTACAACTCCCAAATGACAAAATCAATCCCCCGCCAACCCCACCAGTATTCAAATTTGGGCATACCGGGTATTTGTGCCAAATTTGCTCCAGTGAATGAAAATACATCCTGCAGATCATTATTTACATGGCGATTCATAATGTTAGGGTTATGGTTGGGGGTCACCACAGCATGAAGAACTGTATTAAGGGGTAGCGGCATTAGGAAGGTTGAGAACCACTGCACTACACCATTGGCTCTTCAATCAAGCAATCAGTCAAACAAACTTTATGACGGTCCAAAGACCCAATTTGCTCATTTGCACAACTGCCAACAGATTCATAAATGGATAAGACCACTTAAACCCAGGACGAGTGCAATTCTAGATGCATATGAACAAGGGTCAAAAACAATGCACCCAAAGTCCGTCTGATGGATCGGCAATAGGAAATGACTTATGATGTTGGTGGTTGCTCTTAACGGTCCATGCAGTCCATGTTGCAGTCCATGCAATTTGTAAATAATACAAACCGGAAAACGCTGTTGCGTGTATTCATGCGTGTTTACTTGTCTGCCTTTCTCCAACTGCAGGAACCTCCACAGCAAGTCTAGCCACAGCGCCGTGGACACGTGGTACGACAACCCTGTGCCTAATTACCCTCCAAACAACAGAATCATGACCAAAGAACGCAGGAAAAGTTTCCAAACTGGTAAGTGCAGTGACATGTACTGGGAAACCAGTTTGGGTGAGAGTTGGTTATTTGCTAAGAGTCCAGGGTGATCAACAGAGAAATGAGACTTAATGGGCAGGTTTGGTCAGTGAAAACTAATACTCTGAGCAAGTGACATCCTCCCAGAAAAAGATGACGGTTTGAATTTTAGAAGGGTATGGCAAGTTTCTAGTTAGTTGAGGAGCATTTAGCCTTTTTTTTTTTTTTTGCATCAGTAGCTTTGTTGTCTGATTGCAACTCTATATTTACCTTCATGTTTCTCCCTGCTGTGTTTCTACATTGGGCTAAATATTATTATTTATTTATTTATTTATTTATTATTTATTTATTTATTTGCTGCATTTGTTGACCGCCGCTCTCAGCCCTAGGGCGACTCGCGGCGGTGTACAACATATAAAAACAGTTTACAATAAAGCACAACAAAAAATCAACATATCAATAATACACACTAATCTAAATTACACTAAACTAATCCGCATCGTCACAACATAGAATCATAACCAATCTCATAGTCCATATTTCGTTCCAATTGTCATTGCCAGTTAATATAGCACTCAGTTAAATGCCTTCTCAAATAGCCAGGTCTTTAGGCTCTTACGGAAAGCCATAAGGGAGGGCGCCTGCCTGATGTCAACAGGGAGGGTGTTCCACAGCCGGGGGGCCACCACTGAGAAGGCCCTCTCCCTCGTCCCCGCCAGACGTGCCTGTGAGGCAGGCGGGATCGAGAGAAGGGCCTCCCCAGACGATCTCAAGGCCCTCGTGGGCTCATAGGCCGAGATGCGGTCCGAAAGGTATTTTGGGCCGGAACCGTTTAGGGCTTTGTAGGATAACACCAGCACCTTAAATTGGGCCCGGTAGCAGATCGGCAGCCAGTGGAGCTGGGACAACAAGGGCGTTGTGTGCTCCCTGCGTCCTGCTCCCGTTAGTAACATGGCTGCCGCGCGCTGGACTAGCTGAAGCTTCCGGGCCGTCTTCAAGGGCAGCCCCACGTAGAGAGCGTTGCAGTAGTCAAGGCGGGATGTGACCAGTGCATGTACCACCGTGGCCAAGTCAGACTTCCCAAGGTACGGGCGCAGCTGGCGCACAAGCCTAAGCTGTGCAAATGCTCCCCTGGTCACCCCTGAAACCTGGGGATCCAGGCTCAAAGATGAATCCAGGGTCACACCCAAGCTGCGAACCTGCGCCTTCAAGGGGAGTGCGACCCCGTCCAGCACAGGCTGTAACCCTATACCCTGATTACTATTATTATTGACACAAAAGTACAGTATGTCACAGCAAATGAGATCTCTATGCTGGATTTCGTATCACAAAATCACAAGTCGAACACTTCCCAAGCGTCTAGGACTGTGTGATATATTTTCGAATGATGCGTGCAGATCCAAGCCAGGTAGCCTTTTGCAGTTGACAGATCGTAATTTTGTCGATGTTGATTGTTTCCAAATGCCACTTGAGATCTTTTGGCATGGCACCCAGTCTGCCCATTACCACTGGGACCACCTGGACTGGTTTATGCCGGAGCCTTTGCAATTCGATTTTGAGGTCTTGATAGCGGCTGGGTTTTTCCTGTTGTTTTTCCTCAATGCGACTCTCACCTGGAATGGTGACATCAATAATCCATACTTTTTTCTTTTCCACAATCGTGATGTCTGGAGTGTTGTGTTCCAAAACTTTGTCAGTCTGGATTCGAAAGTCCCACCGTGTTTTTGCATGTTCATTTTCCACGACCTTTGCGGGTTTATGATCCCACCATTTCTCTACTGCTGGCAGGTGGTCCTTTTGTGAATCATCTGGGACACAGAGTTGTGCCTCTGTTTGTAGTCCGTCTGTGTGATTTTCTTGCAGCAGCTGAGGATATCATCCATGGTGTCATCAGCTTCCTTGCACAGTCTGCATTTTGGGTCATGAGCTGATTTTTCGATCCTGGCCTTAATGGCCTTTGTTCTGATGGCTTGCTCCTGGGCTGCAAGAATCAGGCCTTCTTCTGTCTCCTTCTTCAGTGTCCCATTCGTGAGCCATCACCAGGTCTTCTCCTAGTCATCTTTTCCTTCAATCTTCTCAAGGAACTGCCCATGTAACTGCTTTGTTGAGCCAGCTGTCAGCTCTGGTTTGGAGTGCAGTTTTCTTGTACTGACTCTTTATCTGCTGTGCTTTGAGAAGTTTCCGATTATTGACTTCAATTAAAGCAGGTTCTTGGCTTTCCTTGACATATTCTGCCAGGGCATCGTGTTTTTCTTCTTCAACTGCTTGTTTGACTTGTAAAAGTCCTCTGCCACCAGACTTTCTAGGCAGATAGAGCCGGTCAACATCACTGCGAGGATGTAATGAATTATGAATGGTCATGAGTTTTGTAGTTTTTCTGTCCAAATTGTCCAGTTCTGCCTGCATCCAGTTTATGATGCCAGCAGTATATCTTATGAAAGGTATGGCCCAGGTGTTTATGTCATTGATGGTGTTGCCTCCACTGAGCTTGCTTTTGAGAATTTTTCTGACCCTTTGAGTGTATTCTTTGCTGACCACAATTTTCATATGTTCATGTTTGATGTTGTCCAGCTGTAGTATGCCCAGATATTTATAGGCGTCTGGCTGGTGACACTTGATCGCTTGGCCATTGGGCATATTTATGCCTTCACTTTCAAGGATTTTTCCCTTCTTCAGTGCCACTGTCAAACATTTGTCCAAACCAAACTCCATGTTGATATCTGTGCTAAAGATTCGGACAGTGTTAGTCAGAGAATGGATGATGATGATGATGATGATTATTATTATTATCTATATAAAAATGCTCTGTGCATAATGAGTAACTTAAAAACAAAAGAACCAATGAACAAAATCACATCGAATTTGGCAACAAAACGTCTCACAACACAAGGAGTGACCATCACTCAAAAAATTAAGATTTTGTCATTTGGGAATTGTAGTTGCTGGGATTTATAGTTTACTTGCAATCAAAGAGCATTCTGAACTCCACCAACGATGGAATTGAACCAAACTTGGCACACAGAGCTCCCATGACCAACAGAAAATAGAAAGGTTTGGTGGGCATTGACCTTGAGTTCGGGAGTTGTAGTTCACCTACACCCAGAGACTACCGTGGACTCAAACAATGATGGTTCTGGACCAAACTTGGCACGAATATTCCATATGCCCAAATATGAACACAGGTGGAGTTTGGGGGAAATAGACCTTGACATTTGGGAGTTTTAGTCACTGGGATTTATAGTTCACCTATAATCAAAGAGTGTTCTGAACCCCACCAACGACAGAATTGGGGCAAACTTCCCACACAGAACCCCCATGAACAACAGAAAGCATCCTCAGAGGTAGTGAGGCCTGTTGGAACTAGGAAAAGGGGTTTATTTACCTGTGGAATGACCAGGGTGGGACAAAGGACTCTTGTCTGCTGGAGCTAGGTGTGAATGTTTCAACTGACCACCTTGATTAGCATTTGATAGCCTGGAAGTGCCTGGAGCAATCTTTTGTTGAGAGGTGATTAGATGTCCCTGATTGTATGTTGCATGTTCCAGAGTAGGCAAACCAGACAATCTCCACATCAACAATGACAAAGAAACAGCAAGAAATACTGTTTACCCACAACATAAAGAAATTACATATATTAGAAACCAACACTTTCTCATTACTTTATTTTCCAGATCACCAGACTGGGCCACAGCAGCAAATGGCAGGGGACAGCTAGTTATTATTATTATTATTATTATTATTACACTAGGTTACAACATTTGCAGCTTTTTCAGTTCCTGGTTTGAAAGTGTTATTTCCTGTTTCATTGCAAGGCCCTTACTTTAAAAGTAGTTGTTGTTTTTGTGACTGCCACAAATTATGTTGGATAGGTTGACGCTCTATGAGATATTCATTGAAAAACCATAGCAAAAGGTGTTGCAGGATGTCCTCCAAAATCAAAGTTTTTGCAGCCTAATAAACTTCTCCCATGTTTTTGGGATAGAAACAATTAGGAAACAGCATTTATAACCCCGGGGGGGGGGGGGGGGGGATCGTGATACAGTTCCTGGACTCAAAACAACAACAAAGAACCAATATGTTTTATAATGTGCATTTTTTAAAAATGCATTAAGATTTATACACTTTCAGAAACTAATGTGGGAATCACTACCTATTTGTTCAGCTATGGCTTCTTGTAGGACCGGGTTGTGGCGCAGCTGGTTGGGAGTCAGCTGCATTAAAATCACTACTGACCAAAAGGTCATGAGTTTGAAGTCAGCCCAGGTTGGAGTGAGCTCCCAACCATTTGTCTAGCTTGGTGTCGACCTTTGCAGCACGCAAGTCAGTTAAATCAAGTAGAAAATATAGGTGCCGCTTATGTGGGGAGGCTAATTTAACTAGTTTACGATACCATAAAACTCTCCAGCAGCGTGCAAAAGAATGAGGAAGCACTCCATCGGTGTCTCAAGTGGACAGTGAAGCGACAGCTCCACCGGTGGCTGGAATTCAAAGCATTCCCTCATTAAGCTGGAATGTTAAATAGCCTCTGTGTGTCTGTCTATATATGTTGTGTGTCTATGGCAGGGGTCCTCAAACTTTTTAAACCAGGGGCCGGTTCACTGTCCCTCAGACCGTTGGAGGGCCGGACTATAGTTTTTTTTTAAAAAAATCAATAAAAAATTCCTATGCCCATTGCACATATCTTATTTTGCTGTGTGGAAGGCCCTTAAGAGGGGGTTCTTTCTAGCCCTCTTTAGGCAGTAATTCCAGGAGCAGAGAATGGGAAATCTTCCTATTTCTAGTCTGAACAAAATCTGGCTACCAGTATTAAAAAAACTCTAAAATTATAACTGTAAATAAAGAACAACACTCAAACACAGGGGAACTCCAAACAAGAAACAATCAGGGCCAGCTAATCACCTCTCAACAAAGGATTCTCCCTAAAAACTGTCAGGCTATGAAATGGTAATCAAGGTGGCCAATTGAAACATTCATACCTACCTCCAACAGACAAGAGTTCT